AACTTGTCTTAAGTGATTGAAAAAAAAATTTGTTTAAAAGTTAAACTATGTCTTCAAGCCAAAAAACGAAAGAAAAAACCATAAAATTTAATTATGTGCTTAAAAAAATCAAAGATTATTAATGAAAAATCAAATTATAAAAACAAATTTAATTATTAGTAAATAAAATGAATAATTTGTGATACATTAAATTATTGAATATTAAATACCGAACAAAAAAAAAAAAAAAAAAAAGAAAAGAAATACACATAGAAATATGAAAATTTTATCGTACTAAAAATATATACAATTTCTATAATTGTCTTTGTTTTAGAAATAATCAAAATTATTTCAATTCATCATAATCCCTTTAACATTACTATATTGCGTCATCTCTTACGTGTACTTTCATATTAGGTCACGTTCCTCTTTTGGGAATATTGTCTCCAAATTCAGTACACCAACGTCAAATGCTTTCTTTGCAGTAGAACCGCCAGAAATATATTGTTTTGGTATACGTAGCTTAATCTTTCTTTTGCCAGGCTAAAATTTAAATTTAAAAAAATCACTGCAACAGTTATTTGTAAATTAAATTCCAATACTGAAGTATCAAAGGAAAAGAAAATCTAATTAATACTAGAATCTTTGACTATTGATTAACAGATATTTGGTTAAAAATTAAATTTAATAGCATTTATTTTTGTCTTTCTATTTTCTTTTTTTTTATTTTGCATAGAAAATTTAAAATGTATCAAACATATTTGTATAAAATTGCTTACTTTAATACCATCATCACAATCATGATAAATTTTAAGTACTGGATCAATACTCGTTAATTCTCGGGTACTACCTTCAAGATTAAAATTACCATTCCTATCTGTTTCACCTTCATCCAATACATCATCCGGATCCGGTCCTAAAATTTATCCATTATTTAATACAATAATTCAACCGAAATATCACTAACTAATTATAATTAGAATCAAAACTAAAATTACGTCCTAAAATTTATCCATTATTTAATACAATAATTCAACCGAAATATCACTAACTAATTATAATTAGAATCAAAACTAAAATTACGTCCTAAAATTTATCCATTACTTAATACAATAATTCAACCAAAATATCACTAACTAATTATAATTAGAATCAAAACTAAAATTACCTTCAAGTAATAAAATTACCAAAATTTGCCTTAAATGATCGTGTACTAAAATTTGCTTCACTATTTATTTTGTAGCATTATTTTATCTAATAAATTTAAAATAATTCAATGAAAAGTTCAAACCATCATCTTCATCCCACAGTTTAACTTTAACACCTGATGCTGGCTTATCACCACACTTTAATTGACCTTTAACCCGCACAGCTTGAAGTCGCATCCCATTACTAATACTAAGTATTGTTAGAAATAAAAGTAGTACAGCTTTCATCTATAAAAATTTCTTCAAATAATGACAATTTATAAAGAAGTATAACGTGAAACTAACTACTCGTATGTTCAAAAAAAAAAAACAACGCAATCTAAAGTTAGTTACGTGTTATCCGTCAAATAAGTATCATATAACAATAATATCATATATGTAACAATAATAATAGAAAGTAAAAATTGAAATTATTAAATCAAAAAAAGAAAAAAAAATTAGAAAATATTTTGGTTAAATTTAGTTATGATGATTCCATCAATATATAATTGATGACTAATTGAGTAAAAAAAATTGACAATTATCTGAAATTAACATTGGTTGATTTTTCTATACTGTTTTAAGTAATTTAATTTGAAAACTGAATTGGCATCAAATCATTAATATATATATTATCTATAACAAATTCAGTTGGAAATAATATTACTAAATAAGAAATATTTAACAATTGTGATTGCCATTGTTCATAGATTAATAATAATAGTCAAATTATTTATCAAAATAAATTATTTAAAATACATAAGGCAAAATTTAGATGTAATCATTTTAAAATTAATTAATGAAAAGATACGTAAGCAACGAGTAGCCTAAGTTGAAAACAAACCCATCTATTTGTCTATCGTAATTTAAACAATTACTCAATTACAATCGATTGATGAAGAAAAAAAAAAAAAACTTTAAACAAGAAAGTTCAAAGTGAACAAGGATCAAAATAAAATTTTAGCAAAAGATTTCGATTTCGTTGATGATAATTGATAATGGTGATAAGTTTGTTGTTTGAAAATTTTCATTTATCTTTTTTATCTTCTATTTTTTTTTAAAAAAAAAAGAAAAAATGTAAATCAAAGAATGCATAGTTTGTTAGCTCTTTTTCTCTTCTTTTTTTTTTTGCCAAAAGATAACAAAACATTTGTTATCAATAAATCTTGCATGATTAAAGGAAAAGATTGTTTGCATCAATTCAATTCAAATAAATCTTTTCCATCTTTTTCTTTCCTATTATCACATAAAAATAAGTATTAGTAAATAACATAGAATAAAATTTGAAAAGTATTAAGCATATTTTATTCAATTTCTAATTTAGGATTATATATTTGATATTTTATATTTTACTTTAAAATTTATTATCTATTTTAGGTTAACATTTAAAAATTAAAGGAATATATAAATGAATAAACAAAGAACTAAAAGGAAAAACTGGTAACAAACGACTATAAAAAACGGTTATAAAAAGTAGTAATGGCAATTGAAAGTAGCAAAAGTATGATAAAAGATAAAAGTATTGATTGATTGATCAATTGATTGATTGATTAATTAGGATATACATAATATTAGAACATTGATCCCTTAACACACATTCTGATTAAACTGATTCTTCCAAACATATCTAAAATACGATACATTGATTGTTTTACTTCGATTCATCGACATAAAATGTAATTAAATATACAAATATTGTTTGACTCCTCAAAGTATATTACAATTAAATACCAAAATATTTATTAATTATATATTTAATAGCAATGATCTCATTAATTCTTCAAAATGTCAATTTTGACTAATTAATATTTCTATATAATTGGAAAATGATTAAAATTGTGCATAAAAAGACAGTACAGATAGTTTTTTTAATTCAAAAAAGAGAAGGAAAATGAGAAATTTTGCATAAATAAATATTTTAATTATTTATAATTAAAGTTATCAAAATTAACTCCAGTAAAAAAATTATTTTATAATTAAAAAATTTTCGACATATCACGAAAAATGTATTTAATATTTAAAATAAACAGTTGGATCATCATTTAAGATGATCAAAATAATGCATTAAATTAATTAAATTATTAAAATGTTATTTTTTTTTACGAAATGATTATACTGAAGAGAAAAAAGATTTTAAATAATTGGGCGGTAAGGGCTTCTTTCATAGAAAAAGTAAACAACAATATGGGAAATATTCTTTTCAATCGTTAACAATTGAGGAAAGTATTACAAAATTTTTACTTCTATTGGAGGGCAAATATTGAGAAGAAAGGGTCACAGTTAATTCAATAAACCATCCACTATTGAAAGAAAAGGTAGTAGTAGTAGTGGTGGTAGTACTCAAGAAATTTAGCTCATTGTATGACCTTTACAAAGGATTGAATTGGACAGGGACAGATGTGATTGTCTCTCTCTCTTTGTGATGGATTTAATGTGATTCAGAAAGGATAAGCAAAGATTTGGTAAGTAAGATTAACTGTGTAATACAGGACAGGGAGCTTTATATTTTGAATATTTCAGTTAATTATAGTTAGTATTTGAAATAAAAAATATATTTGAAATAAAAAAAGAATTGCATTTATAGCTTTTCATTATTGATTGGCGGTAATTTATATTTGTTCTGCTTGTCGCTTTTATGACATTTGCGCTATTACAGTAACACAATTACTTTTTAATTGGTAACATAATTACTCTTTAATTGGTAACATAATTACTCTTTAACTAGTAACATAATTACTCTTTAACTAGTAACATAATTACTCTTTACCGGTCATCAAAATTTTACTAGACGCTATATTTCAGCATTCAAATTATTATTATGAGTTACAAAATGAATTTTTTTTAAACGCTTATCCTATAAATAAAACGTATTTGACATAAAATATGAAATAACAAAATTCACTACAAAGTACAGTCAAATAAATAATTTAGATTAAAGAAAAAAACCTATTTTTAATCAAGAATTTCGCAAAATTCAAGATTTAATTATGTAAATTTTGAAACGAAGTATATTAATTATATAAAACGAAGTATATAAATTAATATTACGATAGGTTATATAAAACGAAGTATATAAATTAATAATATTACGTTATAATGTTTATTATTCAGCAAATTATTTAATATTATATTAAATAGCGAAGTATATAAAACGAAGTATATTAATTAATAATATTACGATAGGTTATAATGTTTATTATATTCAGCAAACTTATTTAATATTAAAATAATGAATGCTTATACAGTCGCTGATTTTGATATGTAATGTGATTTTTTAAATTTCACGGATCATAAAAAGTCGTAATTTATCCAAAAACAGTGCTAATTTATGGTAAATTAAGATTTATTCAAAAATATTAATAAAAGTGTAATTTGTTAGGAAATAACAATAAATGATAATAAACTGTAATTTGCCTAAGAACAATAAATTAATTTAAAAAAAGTATAATTTAACTACGAATTATGCTGAAAATTGGTTATGTCTATACTTTCGCATTTCTTCACTAAGCTTTTATAATTTTATTTAAAGTTATTTGGTTATATTATAAGAGATGAATAAAAATTAGTAAATTCTTAGTAAAAAAAAATTCAAATAAATATCAAAACATATTTAAAATTAGAACTAACCAGACATAAAATACTTAAAGAGCATTTTTTAACATATTTAAGCAATAAATTATTTTATTAATTTCTAATTTTAATACTTAAAAAGAAGGAAAAAAAAACGAATACATTGACTGGTTAAAAAAAAAAAAATTAGTAAAAGAAAAAATTAGTAAAAATTAAAAGAATTAGTAAAAAAAAAAATTTCAAAAAACTAACACAAATTTTAAACTAATTAGTATCGATAAATGGTTCATCACGGGCAAAGTAATCCTTCCAATCCATTGGATTATATCCTAATTCTTCCGCTTTTTGTTTACAACGTGGCGGTGCCATCATTTCATCTTGCATTTGAATAGCTCGTTGACGTTCCCATCGATATGTCATCTGATGCAAACGAAAAGTCAAATATTTCATTAATTTTAATGAAACAAAAAGGACAACAAAAAAAAAAAAAATGAAATTGAATTGAAAATTTAAGTCATTTCAATCAAATTAAAAAAAGAGAAAAAGCAATGAATAATAAATGATTTTTATATAAAAATTTTAATGCAATATTTCTGTCATTAAAATAATCTGTGTCAATCATATAATATATGCTAATGCATCTAAGCATGAGAAATTATAATTTCAAATTAAATGTGCTAACATAATCGAATACAATCGTTGATACAGTCAATAGGAAACCAAATATGAATATAAAAATGCTAATTGTTATAGCAATAATCTGCAACATATTAGTAATGAAAGTATACGTTTCTTATTTCATTAGTAAAAATAATAGCATTAGCAATGACAATAACAATAAACAACAAAGACAAACAGCATACAGCAAGCAACAGCAATAAACAACAAAAAAAAAAACAAAAACAAAAAGCGATAACGAGAAAAAATAACAGTACGGAACAGCAAAAACAACAAGGAGCAACAAGAACAATAACGACAAGGAGTAACAAGAACAACAACAATAAGGAGCAACAAGAACAACAACAATAAGGAGCAACAAGAACAACAATAAGGAACAATAACGACTGGTCTATTAACTGTTTCCAAAAAGGCACCAAATAATTATTTGTAACTTTCTTTCAATAATTAATAATACACTAATTATAGCATATTAATTCCATAAGGACAACTATAAGCTATTGAATTAATTTAAATTAATTAAGCATATTGATAAGAATAATAACACAAAACACATTGATAAGATTGAAAGAAATATATTGATAAGATGATAAGAATTAATGACTTAATAACATAAATACAATTTAAAATATTTTTTTGCAGAAAATACAAGAAAAAAAAAGTTGAAATTAATTTCATTTATAACCAAAAAATTATGTATTGAAAAAGAATTTAATTTAACATTAAAACTTTTCAAGCTTTATAATGAATAAAATATTAATTATCACGGTCTAATTTACAGTTAAATTATAGTTTTGTAACTTTTTCCATCGAATTACCATTAATCTTAAAGATTAATAAAAATTTATTATCAATTTAAATTTTAATAAATCTGAACTATTTTAAAAATTATATTTATCATTTATATGTACGATAAACAAACTTATATCTCATTGTTAGACAAAGATAGCTAAATTGTTGTTATCAGTGTTAGACAAGTTGCATACAGTAGGTTATATTTTAATATTGAATAAGCATTATCTAAGGAAATATCACACAAGCAATAGCCATAAAAAGTAACCAAAAAAGTTTGTTGTCAAATTTCAAAAAATTTTTTTTTCAAAAGATGACTCATTTCTGGTGAGTCACCAAATAAAAAAAAAAACAAATTCTAAATTATTAAAAGAAAAAATATTGGAATGTCTTTTTTTTGCATCACTTGTTCAAGAAATACAAATAAATATCAAAACATACGCACATGTGTGACTCATGAAAATATTGTCATCAATTTTCAGATTTTCTTTTTTGATTTTAAATTTTACAAGGCGAAAAATTTGTTCAAAAAATTAAATTCTAAATATTATCTATTCAATACGAATTTTTGAAAATTTCAGTACATCCCAATTTACAATTTGCAACCTTTCTTCATAGCATTGAAATCAAAAAGGCGCAAATTTTATCATTTCTTAGACAAATGCTAAAAAAGAAATTCATTTAAAAAGTTTTTTTTTTTTTTAAAAAAAAAATAAAAAATTACAAACTTCAAATTTGCTAAGGACGAATGATTGGTACGAATGTTCGTATGCAACCATTTGCAAGCCAACTATATCAAAGTAATAAAATAAACAAAATTTTCATTTTTCATTTTCTATTTTTTTTTTTTTGAAAATTTTCGGGTAGAATAATGATTAGAAAGGTGACAAATATGAAAGGAAGAAGAGAATGCTGAATTAAACAGTTTTCTTCTTTTATCTGCAAAAATCAATTTTATAGTATATTTTGCGGAGTTAAAATTTTTGTTTAAAAAAAAAGTAAGAAAATTTTAGCAATGATTTTTCTTCTATTATTTTAAATAAAAGTTCTTTTCTTCACTGCTATTGTTACAAAAATGATAGAGAAATTATCAGTTAACAGTTAAAAATTTAAATAGAACACTTAATATATTTGAACTTTTGCACCAGTACTTTTCTTCAATCTCTACTGTAACAATGATAATAATAATAATAATAATAATAATAATAATAATAATAATAATGATAATAATAATAATAATAATAATAATAATAATAATAATAATAATAATAATAATAATAATAATAATAATGATAATAATAATGATAATAATAATAATGATAATAATAATAATAATAATAATAATAATAATGATAATAATAATAATAATAATGATAATAATAATAATAATAAATAATAATAATAATAATAATAATAATAATAATAATAATAATAATAATAATAATAATAATAATAATAATAATAATAATAACGATAATGGAAAAAATAATTTTAATAGTAATAATAAAACAACAATAATAATACTACCAACAAGTAGGACCATTACCACTGTTATATTATTATCGTCGTTATTATTAACAGCTAATTACTTCTACAACAGCGATGATAAGCAATAAATTTCAAACTAAAATCAAAAAAACTTACAAATTATAGTGTTTTTCCTTAAAAATTTGTTAATCATAAGCAGTATCAATAAATATTTTTTTAAACTAATATCAGTCAATATTCCTTGTTTTTTTTTTTTTTTTCAAAAGTAAATTTTTCTTCTAAAGAAGTATAGAAATATCTCTAAATACATCAAAATATTAAATATTCAAATATTTGTCAATCAGACATTAAATACTCAAAGAGCATTTTTTAAGCATTAACTTAAGCATTAAATTATTTAATTTCTAATTTAAAAGAAAAGAAAACACGGATACAATGATTAATTTAAATCAAACTGCTTCACTAGTACTACTGGTAAATAAATGTTTGCTTTGCTTAGCACTGTTAATTTAAATTTACAATCTAATTTCACTACTTTTCATTTAGTTAAAAAACTTCCATTTCCTTCCCATTTTGCCTTCATTTCTTATTTCTCGTTTTATCATTCATTTTTTTTTGAAGAAAACAAAGAATCCATTTCCTCTTATTCTTTGAAGGTTTTTTTTAGCTGAATTCAAAATTGAAATTCAAACTTATTTATTCTTTCAAGGAAAAAAAGACGAATATTTCAATTTCATATTTGAATAGAAAAAAAATCTGTTTCAAGTATTCATAAGTTTTCCACTCCTAAAACACTGAGAATTTAATTAACTATAAGTTGAACTAATTAAACACCTAAATAATTAGAAAAGTTAATCATTTATTTTCTGTAATTCTGTAATCATTTCTGTACCTCGAACAAATATATATGGTACTCTTAATTAATCATCAATTAATTAATTGGTCATATCATTTATTACTGAAATTATTGATTGTCATCCATAAGAAATGATTTAATCACTAGCAAATAATTTCATTGAAAGAAATTCTAAGTAAGAAATATTGCAAAATTTTCGACATTTTGTTGAATGATTGCTCATACAAGAAAAATAATTTACTTTCCGTGTTCACCAATGTGTTAAGTCATTTTAAAAATTCTAAGAAAAATGTTTTTTTTTTTTTTGAAAAAAAAATTGAAATGTTCATTTCTTTCATTAGTTCATTCAAGGTTAATGGTTTCTTTTCTATTCCTTTCTATTTAATAAAATACAATGTTTTCGCTTTTTTTTTTTTTTCATTTTGTATTTCAAATTATTCTAATCAATCAACCAGAAAAGAAGAAAAAGAGGAAAAATAAGCTAAATGACTAATTTTTGAGAAATAGAGTTAAAAACATCATTCCTTTATATTATAAAATGATATAATTTAATTATTTTGGCTAAAAATTTCTAACAAATTTGTTACCCATTAAAAAAAAAAAAAACTTAAAAAGTGAAGTATTAAAATGCATCAATTATCATTATCAAATTTATTTGTTATTTCATTTAAAAAAAAAACAAGTTTTTCTTTTTTTATTCTTTTTCTTCTTCTTCTTCTTCCCTTTACACCATGATGCACAGAACTTTTATCATATCATTTCAAATTTTCCTTCGTTTTTTACACCAACTACTTTTCTCTTTTTTTTTTTTCTTTTTGGAAATTCATTTTCTTACTTTATTTCTTCCATCGTAATTTTTGCTTTGTTTATTTAAAGCGTTGTAAATTATTTGTGGTAAACCAATCGTATATAAATAGATAAGTGATACAGAATGCTAAGAAATTTCAGTAGTGGTTACGGTACTTCGATACAGTATGTTATATCTAATGTACAGTAATTTTAGTCAGTTTGTATAAATTATTGTAGATTATCTATTTTAGTTGATTTATATAAAAAACATTGTGAATTATCTGTAGAAAATCAGCTATATATATTCAAAAGGAATAAAAAAATGGTAATAAATTGAGTAACTAATTTAATTAATTATACCATTTTTTTTCTACAAAATTGATGAATCACAATATTAATTTTTTTCATATAACACAAAGTTAATTTTACATTAATGTATAAGAAATAAGTATAAAAGTATGCAATATTAATCATATACAATATTCATATTAATAAATGAGTATTTTAATGCAATGAAATAGTAGGTTTGTAATTACTAATATTTTTTAATTTTTATTCAATATTGGTTTAATTATTGATATTTACAGCAAAAGAATTTTTTTATTATCTATTTATTTATTTTGTTTCTTTTCATCTAATGATAGAGACTTCAGTTCAACTGATAATTGATGAAATCAGTGTCAAATAAACTGATTATTTGAAAATTAGCAAACTAGAAAGCTTTACAGGATATTTTAATCGAAATAGCGATATGAAAGTTATTAAAATTGGATTAAATTTTTTAGCAAACACATAAAAAAATTTTGTCTTCGACTAGATTATATATATATCACTCTTAAAATTAAATTTTACCTCAAAAAAATTAAAAAATATGTAGTTTCATATGCATCCAAAAGAATTGATGAAGTGATAATATGGCATTTTATAGTTAAAATTGTGTGGAAACTTATTTCAATAATTTTTACACATATATTAATCATCGGATCAATTTGTTTCCTTTTTTTAAATCACTTTTAATCACTTTTTTTTTTAGCTCAAATTTGAAACAAATGGCTCGACGTTCGCTAATTTCACCATTTTCACCACGTTTCAGTCGATTTTTCGATGAGTTCCGTGATCTCGACATTGAGCGACCATTCTTTCAACGTCCTTATTGGACAGATTATCAATTCGAAGATTCTCATAAATTAGGTTCCGGTATTGGCGAGGTTATCATTCACTTTTTCTTTTCTCTCCCTCTCTCTCTCTCTCTCTCTCTGCCATTTCCCTCTTTTTTGGATATAGATTTTAATTTAATATTCACTTAAATACTGCAAACCTTTTTTTAGTTTCAAATATTTATCAAGTAAATATATTTGAAAAAATATTTGTTTTTGTGTTTTGTAATTCGTATTTTTGAATTTTTAGTTCCATTTCCAGTAAATTTATTCATTATAAATTAAACTATTGTCCTTAATTAAGTTAACAATTTATTCTTCCCAATTTGGAATAATTATCACAAAAACTTCAAATAATAAAGCTTCTTGCTTTCTGACTTTCGTCCTATCAGTAGTGCATTGGATCTTTTATCAATTTTATCCCTTATCAGTCATAATTTAATGTTTTAGATAACCGATACTGATGAGCATTATTCGGTGACTATTGATGTATCACAATTTGCGCCCGATGATTTGAAAGTATCTGTAAGTGATGGAATTGTTACCATTGAAGGTAAACATCCAATGATCAAAGATCAGTTTGGAGAAGTTAGCAAATTTTCCTTCCTTTTTTCATTGCCTAATGCTTTATTTTAACCATTTAAGACAATATTGGTTATCAAAATATACATTTATTGTATAAGCAATATATACAAGTATAATTTTAATTAAAAATTAATCTGAAATTAAAAACTAATGAAAATCCTTGTCAAACATCTTTAGGAACATATATTTTGAAATTATATCTATGAAATATAATCATAATTTGAAAATGATATAAACTAATTTTTTACTTTTGAAAACAATAACTTTTTAAAGATTACTTTAGTATCAATGAATGAATTTTAAGATTGAGCGTCAATTTACCCGTCGTCTAATGCTACCAAAAGATATAAAACCTGAATTGGTAACGAGCGAATTAACGAAAGATGGTAAATTGACGATACAAACACCAAAGAAAGAGAAAAACGAGGCGCAAACAAGGACAATACCAATTCTGCGAAAAGACTAACAGAAATTATTTATGGCAGAAATGTCTGAACACATACAAATGTAAAAGTTCCCACATTTAATAAATAAAACTACAATAAATACAATTTTCAAATTTCATCATTTTTCAGAATATCTTCCAATTACTGCTGCAGATTTTTTTCTATATCTTTATTAAATGAAGTTCATAATGTAAATTAATTTTCGTATGAATAAATTTACTGCGCATTATTTCAAATGTCTCCTAATTATCATAAGATTTCAGAAACTTTTTCGTTTGCATAAATTTAGACAAAAATTTAATCTACCTTTTCAAGAAAATAATAAGAATTAAAAAACAAGTGTAATCCTTTGTAATAATTAATGTAAATTTTATTGATATGGTTAGACATAAATACAGCGCACATTATAGTATTATTTAGAAAGCATTTTAAAAACAAATTATGATCAGAAGTGAATACAAAGTTACGAATGCATCTGTGATGAACATAAAAGTGCTCATATAGGAGAACAATATATCACTGACTAGACAAAACGCAGAATGTAAAAAAAAGCTGGCAATAAAAAAGTTGATTTAAAACTTGAATTGTATTCGACACTTGTCAACAAAACGGGATGAAATGGTTTATAAGTAAACTAAAATAAACAAATGCTTACACTGGATTAAAGTCAATCAAGCAGTACAACAGTATAAAATCTATCCAGCACGAATGTTTTTTAAAAAAATTCCGTAGATTTGATTTACTTTAAACTAAAACATCATAATAATCTTACAAGTTTAAACCATTCCCAGCCATTATGTAACATAATCGTTAGAAAAAAAAAAAGAAAAAACTAATGAACAAAATCAGCAGCCAATTCACAAAACGCCATACAATCCATCCTTACTAATTTACCATTTCTAAGCATCTTTAACGGATTAGATATACGAACAATCCGAAAATCAAAATTTTCGCAACCGCTTTCTTCAGATGAAATCTAGAAAAGCAGTTCATTAATTTCAGCATTCAACAACAGAAGTTTTAACTGAAAAAAAATTTCAGAATTATTTTAAATATATAGTTGTCAAGTTGGTATAGTTCTTAGTATCTGCACACATGAAAACGATTATAAATTCTTCCTTATAAAAGATTTCAAATGCCAAAAATATGCGTCACTCACTTATATAATATTTATAATATAATTGAATACCTTAACATCGATAATGTGGGGTTCAGGTACAGCTACCGAATCACCAATAACGAGTCCAAATTTATTTGATGCATTATAAATGCAAAAAGCACAGCAAGATCCTTCTTTATCACAACCAACAAATGTGCTGAAACCAAAACTCACATAAATTATTTAATTTAGTTTATATTTTCCACATTTTTTCATTATTCTAATAATTTTTCATTTTTGTTCATATCATATGAGTATTACACAAATTATAATGATATTATCTCTTTCTAAACTACACTATATTACGTTTTCAAACAAAGATAATAACTGTTACATTTATCTCTCGAGTTCAATTTTATGATTCAAAAATTCCAGCTACACACACACACACACACACACAAACAAACAAACAAATAAACAAACAACACATGTTTGCTCTGTGTTTAAAGCTAGTCCTGCCTTTGCAGATAAAAATGATTAAAGTGATTTTTCAGAAATTCACTTAACGTTAAAATAACTTTTAAAAAAGAAGATGGGAAAGGAAAGCTTACTATGGGATAACTTCTGTATTAAGGATAATTGCAACAACTTTGCCACAAATTACAACATCATCGTTAATTCCTTCCTTCAGTTCTTTAAATAAAACTGTTCTAAGGATTTCGATTTTACCACTTCTTTTCTTGAATGCCTTCTTGCAATATACTCCAAAATCTTCATTAGATATCGAAGATCTAAAGTGTTTCATTTTTTTTGCAGATAATCTACCTGAAATGATCGCTTAATACATAAAAAAGAAAAAACAAGCAAAATAAGAGTTGGAATTGTTGTAGGTTCTTATATTCTTATAAATTATACAACTTTGCTAATTTGCATCAGCTGAAGATTACAAAATAGTTATTTGTTTCAATGGTCATAAAAATTGATTCGTCATATTTCAGACTTTCATGTCGGATTTCAACTAATTTAATTAAAAATTTATGTAATAACCTTTCCTCTGCACTTGACTGTTAATTTGTTTCAGGAACGATAGCAGTGTTTCCAACCGTCCTTTTGTTTCCAGAAATCCCGGATCGTAAACATTTGCTATTTTTAAATGTTTCAAACACTCTCCATAATTCTGAATAAATTTAAGAGCAGTTGAGTAATTAAGATGCAAATCAGGGCTATAACGCACGTCACCAAGTTGCAGCGCTCTTTCGTAAGCTTCTTGGGCTTTCTCCTACAACAAAATTGAAATTCAGGGGAAATTAATGAATTAAAATCAAAGAAAACGAAAAGCAGATCACTTACTTATTTACCTAAAACATGCTTAAACATTGTGATAAGAAAATTAATCAGTTTAAAACATCAGTTTGATTTTGATAACTCATTTTATTTGCGGTTGGGCTGCATGATATCAGTATTATTTTAATCAAACTGATAATTAAGTGAAAAAGAACACCCATTTTAGTGTTTGGTCACAGTTATGACAAAAAACAAAGGAAAAAAAACTGAACGATAAAAGCTTTTTGCCTTCTTAAAACGATTACCATTTATTTTAAAAAGGAAAATAGCAGTTTGAAGAATGAAACAAACCATAAGTTCCATATTTGTTTGATACTTGAGAAAAAATTGCATCAAACATGAATTTCCTAGTGTGTGCCATGCTTTATCAGAATCAGGATCAAGCTTAACGGCTTCATCAGACAATTTAGCAGCTTCGTCTTGCAACGAATGTTGAATTTCTGTTTCCGCTGTACACAAAGCAATTTGTCGAAGTACTATTGCAAGTGAGGCAAGACATTTTCCAGTACGATTCAGAGCTGATGATTTCTATAGAAAGTAATCGAAAAATAAGTAATGTGAATTGGAAATGAAGTTGCAAAAATATGGTAAAAATTTTTAAAAAATGAACGAAAAATATAATAAAATAGCTGTTCTTCGAAGGTATTCATATAAATTAGTATTGGTGAAAAAATATCAATGTAATTTGATAAAAATGTTAGTGTTTTGAGAATTTTAAACTTCTTAATTTAATATCATCTCTTCATCTGATAGAAGCACATTAGCATTAGCACTCTCAAATTAGAACACTACTTACACGAAAACAATCCATAGCTGTTGTAAAATCTTCCTTCTTTCTGACACATTCACCAAGTTCATACCATGCATCACTCAGTGAAGGATCCAATTTTACGGCACGTGATAAATATCTTTCACAATTTGCGTCATAATCCACACAGATGTTTAAAATTCGTCCACAAATGTAATTATATCGTGCTGATGTTGATGAATGTGCATTCATATCTAACGGAATATCCTGAAAAAATAAATAATATTCGAACATTAAACGAAAAATTATTAAAGATAATGATGCCGTTATTATCATTATTGGCATAAAACAAACGAATGAATTTAAGTAAAATCAAAAGTGGTAATTTGTGGAATTTCGAAACATTATCACTATATTTTGGCTGATACTTATAATCGAAAAACAAATTATCAATTTGCAATTTTCGAAGATTATTCATTTTTTCAGAATGCTGAAACATAGAGAACATCTCTTTAAAAAAGATAAAACTGAATTGTCATCAATTGCAAGAAAACCAATTAAATTAACATTCTTTTGACTGATTATCAAGTTATACAAGCGATTAAATTATTGCAGTTATGCTTCTTACATGAACATGATGATTAGTGAACGAACAGTACAATTAAATGATGGAAATTATCAAAGGTTAAGTTGTTAATGAATTATTGAAAATGACTAAACTGAAATGATAAAACTGAAATACTAGTTATTGAAATGATAAAAAGTTATTAAGCTTGCTGCCATGGATATACAATAAATGATATTGATAAAAAGAACTATATGTGAAATTAGAATCTCACCTGAATTAATGGCAAAACCTTTTCACGAACGGCTTGCTTTTTCTCTTCTAGTGTGGATTTCGGGAACTGTTGATAGTAACAGTCACGGAAACGTTCAGTTTCCTTAATTTTCTCTTCCAGAACATCCATTTTTTGCAGCTCCGGAAAAGCAACGCCTTTATATTAAGGCCTAAACAGCATACCTGCAGGATGAATGGAATAATTTAATTATAAACATGATCATTATTACTATTTGTTATCGATTACTACAATTAACACCTACTAATAGCACAATGTGTGGAGTTATTATACGATAACTGCAATTTCATTAAGTAATCTTTGCAGAATTACTAACAAATATTTGAAATAGTTGATAATAAAATTCGAAACAAATCTATATTTTCCAGCAGTAACGACACTGTTTAAGAATGAAAATATAAGATAATATTGTGAAGAGCTAATAATGATTGCTAACATTCATAAGAATAATTTGATGATAATAGTATTAAGAAAACAGTTTCCGACTTTATAGACATAATTTAAAGTGTTAGTAATAAAATTGCTCATCATGCTTAAAAAAAAAAAATAAATACAACACAATGAAATTGTTAGAAAATGTTAGTTCATCAAAAAGAAAAAAAAAGTAAATTAAAAAAAAATTTCGGTAATTAAAGTGATGCTCTCAAACAATTAGAAATTAACAGAAATAAATTCAAAGTTTTTTAAATATTAAAATTACAAAATAATATTCGCTATGAAGAGATAGTAGGAATTGCTAAGATTTGCAAAATATTATGCCTTTCTTCCACAAACAAAAAAAAAAAAAAAAAAAAATGAGAAGCTAAAAAAGCTAAGAAATATTTATAACATTAAAGAGGGCAAATAATACAAGAGAAAAAAGAGAAATTGATGCAAATGATAAAAGTGAGATATTCTTAAATGAAATTAAAAGATTCTTAAAAGAGATTCTATTTCTTAAATTAAACAAAATAACGTAGTGTTGGAGAAGAG